CCCAAAAAGGTACCCCTAATTTCGGAAACCCCACATGAGCCACATGAGCCCAAAAGGAGTTTATGGGTATATACCCTAAGAATTTATAGTAGCATAGGGTGTTTGATCCCCTTGCAGGGTTTTAGGATTCATTTGGTCCCGAGAAGTATCCTGGGGGTTACAATGAAACCCCCCAAGCAAGTCGCAAGCTGAAGTTCGCGAATCTCAAAAAAAGCAAGGCCAAGAGCAACGCTTCAGCCCTTGCACAGTTTTTTTCACCCCAAGACCTGAACCCCGAGTCTCTTGTAAAGCCCAGAGCGCAGCATCGACATCCTGAAGTGGATGCGACAACATTGTGGACCAAATGAACCCTAAGGTTTAGGGTTTAGGGTTTAACAGGGAATACAGTAGCAAAGGTGTATGACCCCAAATCCCCAAACATAAGCCAAGCCAAAGCGGCTTATTATGTCCTTCAGCTACTAATTGCTTCAGAACCCCGAAAAAAGTATGATTCCTTAAGGGCAATATAGGGACTAATATTTTTCTTTTGGGGTTCTTAAGCCAATAGTAGTCAGGTCTCGGGGGTCCAAGAGTGCAAACCTTCGGTGCCACCGAGGCCGCGCAAATGAACGTCGCAGTGTACCTCGGATTCCTCAGTGGTGTTCCTCGGCCCGAAAACCGGAAGCCCTCAGCGTTTAGGGTTTGGGGTTGAGGGTTTAGGGTTTAGGGTTTAGGGTTTAGGGTTTAGGGTTTAGGGTTTAGGGTTTAGGGTTTAGGCGTACCGAGCAATTCAGGATTGCGAGCCAGGGGCGGCTCAGAGAAGCCTCGTTTTTGAAGCGCGAAGCTCGCGAAGCTCCCGAGCTTCAGACTTCAAGCTTCAGGCGAAGCGCGAAGCTCGCGAAGCTTCAGAGTTCAGGCTTCAGGCGAAGCGCGAAGCTCGCGAAGCTCGCGAAGCTCCCGAGCTTCAGACGTGAAGCTGCAGGCGAAGCGCGAAGCTCGCGAAGCTTCAGACTTCAAGCTTCAGGCGAAGGGCGAAGCTCCCGAAGCTCGCGAAACTCGCGAAGCTCGCGAAGCTTGCGAAGCTCGCGAAGCTCGCGAAGCTCGCGAAGCTCGCCAAGCTCGCCAAGCTCGCGAAGCTCGCGAAGCTCGCGAGCTTCAGACGTCAAGCTTCAGGCGAAGCGCGAAGCTCGCGAAGCTTCAGGCTTCAGGCGAAGCTCGCGAAGCTTTCGAAGCTCGCGAAGCTCGCGAAGCTCCCGGGCTTCAGATTTCAAGCTTCAGGCGAAGCGCGAAGCTCGCGAAGCTTCAGACTTCAGGCTTCACACGAAGCGCGAAGCTCGAGAAGCTTCAGAGCTTCAGGCTTCAAGGAAGCTTCAAAAGTTTCAAAAGCTTCAGGCTCGCGAAGACAACAAGCTTCAGAGCTTCAAAAGCTTCACATTCAAACGCGAAGCAAGCAGAGCGCTCCCTCCAATTCAGGTTATATCAGTGCCATTCAAAAGTTGCCAGAACCTTGTGGACCCAATAAATTTTAACCGGGTCGTTTCGGGTTTATCTAGGATACGGGTCGGGGCATCTGTTGATTGGGTCCCTCTTCGGCCCTGGGAACACGAGTGAGGGAGCCAGATAGTTGCTTCACTGAAACCCTGGCATTCTGTGATATTCCGCTGGAATCCATGACAAAAAAAACCGTTTTATTGGAAAGCCGTAAAGTTGTCGGGTGTAGAGTGTAGGGATGAGGGATTTGGAAATCTATTGTCACCTAAGCTCTTGGAAAATTTGGCGAGAGTTGCTTACGACTAGCCTGGGGCTCTGGGGGCGTGCCCGAAAACCCGGAAGAATCTAGTTTTTTCCACCTTGTTCTAGCTTGTTCTAGGTTTTTCTAGCTTTTCCTAGCTTTCGCTAGCCTTCCCCCTAGCCTTCTCTAGCCTTTCGTAGCAGATCGGGGCCCGAGACCAGGAAGGATTTAGCGAGCCAGGGAAAAAGGCCAAGTTCGCTTCTGACTCTCAAGAAACAATATTCCTCATTGCATAGAAAATAAAAATAACTAGGCCACACAAGCCCCACACCCAAACCCCACGCCCCGTCCGACCGAAGACTGATATTTTTGACGAGCTGTGCAGCACCAACAAACTGTAGTTTCTTGAACAGGCATAATTTCACCCAAGGAAATATGTTATTCCAGCTTGTCATAGCATGGCTTAGCTCTTCTTAGCTTTTCCTGGCGTAACCTAGCCATCTCAGATACCCTGTGGTTTTCTTTGGAACGCTTTCGGAAATCTAGATTTTTCCCATCATGCAAAGAGGGACCCAATCAACAGATTACCCGATACTTTTCAATGAGTTTATGGTTCATACAGAATAGGAGCTATGGTTATGGTATCTTATAGTATCTGCGTAGGAGTTATAGGGTATGTGACTCCATTTTTAGGGTTCAATTTGGGCCCCGCTAGGAACCCCTGGGCCTCCCGGTAGAACTGAGAAGGTGCGAAAGGTGCTTCAGTGTGATTCTTGACCTATTCTTCTGTAAACACCAGTTTAGGGTTTAGGGTTTCTGGTTATCAGACACCGGCAAAAAACAGAACTACAATGCAGGGTGGCGGTGGTCGTGCAACAGTCTTGTGCGGCAGTGTGGTTCAGAACCGAAGTCTTCAAAGGTTCCTTTTACAGAAAACCCTAAACCCTAAACCCTAAACCCTAAACCCTAAACCCTAAACCCTAAACCCTAAACCCTAAACCCTAAACCCTAAACCCTAAACCCTAAACCCTACACCGAGAGTGCGTCACAACCATGTCAAGGTTCAAAGTGCCAGCACCTTCAAGATGTCTGGCTTCGGACCCCTCCTCGCCCCCACGATGAAAAGAAACTTATAAGCCCTAAACCCTTTAGGCTCAGGAGGAGGGTGTAGGGTTTAGGGTTCAGGGTTCAGGGATCAGGAGGGGTGCCGAGAGCGCTTTGGAAGTTGCAGGTGGTGTTCGCCGCCATCTTCTCGGCCGCAGGGGCCCCAGTGAACCGTATGCGTAAATACACACATACCTATACAGAGAGAGAGAGAGGGAGACCCTTTAGGCTCACGGGTAGGGTTTCGGGGTTTCGGGATTTAGGAGTTTTGGGGCTTAGGGGTTTAGGGGGTTTAGGGGGTTAGGGGTTTAAGGGTTTTGGGGTTCAGGGGTTAGTAATTGCGGGTTAGGGTTTTATGTACAGAAGAACACGCACCCTGGTTGAGGGATTGTAGAAGGACCCGAATTCCTTAATTCCCTGCTGAGGACTATAGCAAGGTTGCGACGTGCAGTGGCCTTGCCATGGTTTCAGCCTCTTCGGATTGACGTTACGTTGACGGCTCATTTCCGACATCAAACACTCAGACCCTCAGATGTCCCTAAACCCTAAACCCTAAACCCTAAACCCTAAACCCTAAACCCTAAACCCTAAGTCTTTCGGTCTGAGGTCTCACTCCATCTTCGGTGCTGTGACTCGATAAGCCCTGAGTAAACCGATGCCCATGTTAGGGAAGCTGAACACTCCAGAAAGCCCCCGCCCGTAAACCCTAAACCCTAAATCCCAAACCATAAACCACATGTCCTAAACCCCCAACTCCCTGAACTACCCTCAACCTCTCTACCCTCAACCCTAAGCCCCAAACTCCCGGAACTACCCTTATTATTCTCCCCGTGATAAACCTTATAAGCCCTTAAGCCTTAAACCCTAACATGTGACTCGCCCACCAAGGCTGCCAAAGATGCGCCTTGAGCCACAAGGGCCGCGCAAGCAGTGGAACGCGAGACGAGGGACGGCCCACGGCGAAAGACGAGCACTGTGTGGACCGAATGAACCCTAAAAAGGGTTTGTGGTTCACAAATTGGGATGTTCCCCTTTTACTAACAGTCCTTAATAGGGGGTTTATGATCCCTTTAAGGACTGTTAGCCTAGGGGGGAACATCCCAATTCATGTATTCTGATCCCTGAAAAACATAGGGATTTAGTGTATATATATATATACCCTAATTGAGATTGTAGTAGTATAAGATTCATACCCTAACGGATGATGGCAGCGTTCCAATTTGAAGGTTCATTTGGTCCGCAAGATAGGAGGCAATGCTTCTTGTCCTCCGAATGCTCATTTGCTTGTTGCGGAGTGGGCCCCTAAACCCTAAACCCTAAGCCCTAAACCCTAAACCCTCAACCCCTATACCCTCAAACCCCACCTTTCGAAATGCCTCGAGTTGGATTAAGTTTCGGCTTTGTACTTGGTAGCCCAGTGGCACCCTTTACCCTTTTGTTTTGGGGTTCTGGTTTACCCGTATAAAGTAGCCAACCCAAACAAAGGGTGCCCTGAAGATCATATGGTTCCTGGGCTACTAAGTGTAAGGCTCCCAGGAATCGACTCTTAGGATCCAGGGTTGGGTTTAGGGTTTAGGGTTTAGGGTTTAGGGTTTAGGGTTTAGGGTTTAGGGTTTAGGCTTTGTAAGGCTCCCAGGAATTCGACTCTTAGGATCCAGGGCTGCTCCCCGCAGAGCAGGTACCAGCCAGGCAAGGTGACCTTTCAGAGCGACACCTTTGAAAGGCCCTCTGTTGCACCGCATTTAGGGTTTTTTAACGTTAAAAAACCCTGAATTCTTGTCCCTTTTAGGGTTTTTTAACCTTAAAAAGACCCTAGAAGTGGAGAGTGTGGCCTAGATATCGAGAGGGACGAAGCAAGCGACCCTTACAAGGGACCTTAGGGAGTTATTTGGGGATGAGTTAGCGGCTACGCATGTATATATATATATATATATATAAGGACTATATAAGGCAGAGAAAGGGGGTTGTCTTGGAGTCATATATCATATAGCGGAATAACCCAGCTGTGCAAACCAACAGCCAGCAAAACAAGGATGATCAAGTTCCGTTCCGGCGTCCGGGGCGGCAAACGGCTCAACCCTTCGGCTGTTGGGCATTGGGGGTCCCTCCTTATACCCCTTAAGTAAAAGGGGTTCATCAGATTGTTCCGGTGAGTCTGAGCCCGGGTGCTACCTTCTCCGATGACATGGGATGGGAGGAAGAGCTAGACAGCTATATCTTACTCGTACGTAGTGTCTTGGAGTTCTTCAAACACAACAGGAGCAAACCCCCCCGAACTCCATCGAAATGCAGATCCCGAAGCTGCAACGACGCCGGGCTTTGTGAACAGCGACACTCGAGAGAAGCCGCACCCGACCATGCAGTCTGTAGTTCGCCTTCCTGTTAGCAGGCCACAGCTTCTAGCCCTCTGCGAGAAGATGGTGCACTCGGGACAAGAGGCGTCCCCACTTTCTTTTTTTGGTGCTGCTTTTTGCAGCTTGGATGTGGGAGGTTGTGGGCTCATGGGTTGCCAGGGTTTAGGGTTTAGGGTTTAGGGTTTAGGGTTTAGGGTTTAGGGTTTAGGGTTTAGGGGAGTCGTCAAGTGTTGAATTGTGCATCATGTCGTTCATTGAGGGTTTGGTTGTTTTCCTTTACCCTAAGCCCCTTGAGACGCACAGATCCCACGTCAAACCTACCAAGATCTTCTGCACTCTACACAGCATACGGGCATTTCCGTTTCCCCCTTACCCTTCTGAACCCGAAACCCCAAGCCCTAAATCCCTAAACCCTCTAAACCTCTAGACCCTGTAAACCCTCTAAACCCAGTAAACCCTCTAAACCCCAACCCCCCCCCCTCTCCTCCCCAACCCTAAACCCTAAACCCTAAGCCCTAAACCCTAAACCCTAAACCCTAAACCCTAAACCCTAAACCCTAAACCCTAAACCCTAAACCCCCCAACCCGCGCCATGGAAAACCCTGCAAGAGGCGCTTTCGAAGGGGCCGAAGTCGCGGCCTCGGCCAGGACCCAGGGCGTGCAAAAACCCTAACGTTTGGGATGTTCCCCCCTATAGGTTTAGGGTTTAGGGTTTAGGGTTTAGGGTTTAGGGTTTAGGGTTTAGGGTTTAGGGTTTAGGGTTGAGGGTTTAGGGTAACAGTCAACCTTGTGGACCAAAGGCACCCTAAAGAGTTTGTGGGTTCATAGACCCTTCTTAGGGATGGTTATGATCGTTTTTGGGATCTTCCCCCTTATACTAACCGTCCTTAATGCGGATTATATTTGGGGGTATTCTACTCCCTATTGAGGACAGGAGCTTTAGGGGGAACATCCCAATTTAACGTCCCGAAACCCCACACCCCCAAAGCACGAAGCCTTCCAAGCCCCAAGCCCTGAACCCTGAGCCCCCTAATCCCTTAAACACAAAAATCCTTGAACCCTAAAACCCTAACCCTAAAAACCTCTCCACCCCCCCAAAATTGAGTCACTTATCCCGAAAGCCGAGGCGCACCGCCTCGGGCAAGGAGAACCTCACTGCGCTACGCGCCGAGAGCCCCGGGAGATTGGCGCAGGTGCGGTATTTAGGGTTTAGGGTTTAGGGTTTAGGGTTTAGGGTTTAGGGTTTGCGGTGGCTTCACGTCGGGGGGAGGGGGGGGGGTGGGGGTCGATCTAAAGCATGGGTTTCTAGTGGTGGGTGGGGGGGGGGGTTACAAGATTTACAAGACTTATAAGGTCTTTTGATGTTTTTGGGGGTTCAAAGGGGTTGTGGGTTTTATCCGGGTTTGTAGGGTTTACGGGGTTTATAGGGTAAAGGGGGGGGGGGGGGACTTGGCATGCTTTTATTTCCCTAGTGCGGGTTGACGATGATACTTGATATCTCTCCAATCCTCGAATGATTCTTCGCGGCTTTTCCAAGATGTCACGGCTATCTTGGGTGTCGTAGGTCTTGAGGGCTAGGTGGGGGTTTCCTGGTCTTAAGGTTCCGAGATTGTAGATGTATAGGGCTTAGGGTTTAGGGTGTTTCTGGACTTCACTCCCCATGTCCGCAGGGCCGCGTTGGGACTGCGCGGTGCAGCTCCCGCCAGCACACGGCTTGGTGTTTGGCTTCCGAAGGCTTTGCGTAACAGAGGGGGGCCTACTTGGAAGACCTCTTGACTTAGTAAGTAGGGTTAGTAAGTTGGGTTATGGGGTATTATGCATTAGAAGATATAAGTATACTTACTAAGTCGTAAGGGCTTCCAAGCAGGTAATGAATGACCAATCTGGGGTTTACGATCCCTAAGGGTCCATGTACCTGTATATGCCCTCAAGCTACTAGATGAGAAGCCCTTTAGGCCCAATTGTATACTACACGGGCACATGGACAGCTAGGGGATGTTAGAGTGCCTTATTCGGGTCTGTTTTATCAGTTTTATCCCATAGTGTTCTGGGGTCTATATTAGGGGCCCCATCGCATGGAAAGCCCCATATCATCCCCGCATTCTGATCCAGATAACTCTACCCCAAGCCCTGAGCCTGTCTGTAACAGTCGATATCAGACCCTAAGGGTCCATGTACCTCATTCTTATATACTTGGGCCCCCAAAGTCCCTATATAGGAATTACTTTAAGGCCCAAGTATTCAATATTTAGGTTCATGGACCCTTAGGGAGATAGCCTCACGGCCAATGGTCCACAACGGGCAATGCGCGCGACTGCTGGCGCAAGTATGCTAGATGCTTCAACTCTGCTCGGTCCTTGCAACACTGTATCTTTGGTTCAGGCCTAAATCACCCGAAGTGCTCTAATCACCCTGAACCCTCATTACTTAAAACGAGCCTCGTTGGGGCCCAACGAATGACACTGCCGAGCCGCTTCGCCCTCTCAGCGCCCAGGCCCGGGAGAAGTGATCGAGTGAATACGGCCACGACGAAGGCAAGGTACCGAAGTGTGTGACATGTTTGGGACGCGAGATTCCCGACAGCAGCCCTAAACCCTAAGCCCTCAGCCCTAAACCAAAAACCCTAAAGCCGCCAAAAAGGAGCCTTGAGGTAACCCTAAACCCTAAACCCTAAACCCCAAACCCCAAACACCAAACCCCAAACCCCCCAAACCCCCCAAACCCTCCCAAGAAATGTCGCGCAGACCTCCTGGGCAGGCGCCGGCCACGGCCGACTCGCGCGGCAACCTCTCCCTTGGCTGCTGCTCCCCGCCGTGGACCGGTGGGGGCCGCCCAGGTCTCGATTTCCGAATGTAGTGAGTGTATTTAGGGTTTAGGGTTTTGGGTTTAGGGTTTAGGGTTCAGGGTTACTCGAAAGTCCACGCCAGGGTTTAGAGAGTGGATTGCTTCTGTAGTAGAGCTTTGCATATTGTAGGGCTTAGTGTTTATTGCCGTTGGGGTTCAAAGGTTTTTGTGGCTTCCTCCACCTTGCTTGAGGATCTTGGAATTTAGGGTTTCGCTTGGGGGGTTCGGGTTTAGGGCTTGACGGCTTATGGCGCGCTTCGCTACATGGAGGGGCCCTAGTTATAAATAGGGTTATCAAGGGTCCTAAATTGGGTTCTAAGTCTTACTACGTGGGTTATAACTCCCTTAACTAAGGTTAGTGTAGTAAGGGGGCCACTACTTGTAGGCTTTTCATGTCAGGTGCAAGCATGGCCACGCCTGCGCTTTGTGTGTTCTTGGCTCTTGATTACCTAAACCCTTAGCGATTAAGTAGCAGAAGATCTCTGACCTGGGAAGAGTTTGTCACAGCTTTTCTTTGTATCCACGGGCCACCTTCTACTTCCTAGGCACGAAGTATTGTGTCGCTGTGGGCTCTAACTAGGTCCCTGGAAGCCTACAGAGTTACATACTTCAGATTGCAGAGCCATAGCGATAGGACGTTAGGGTTTAGGGTTGTCGGCCTGTCGGCCTGTCGGCCTGTCACCCTAAACCCTAAACCCTAAACCCTAAACCCTAAACCCTAAACCCTAAACCCTAAACCCTAAACCCTAAACCCTAAACCGGGGGGTTTAGAATAAGTTGCTGTCCCCAACGGTCTTTTGAAGCGACTACCGCTGAGGGGAATCCCAGCGGTTGCCCACGCTGCCTTCGGTCCCCCTCACTGCTCGCACCTCCGGCATGAGTTTAGGGTTGAGTGTTTAGGGTTTGGGGTTTAGGGTTAAAGGTTTAGGGTGTAGGGCTTAGGGTTTAGGGTTTAGGGTTTAGGGGCGAATTCTGGCTATCTTAAACGTACATCCACCCACCCCATGTAACTCGGCCCTGTAGGGCACAATGCTGTCATAGCACTTTAGGGGGTTTTGAGGAAAGTCGGAGACCCCCGAATAGAGTCCCCAAATAATAGGCTTCCCTTATGAAAAGGACCCTAATAGGGTTTAGGGCCCTAAACCCTATCCCTAAGCCCTAAACCCCAAACCCTAAACCCTAAAGCCTAAACCCTAGCATATGGGAGCCCCAGAAGCAAGCCCTGAACTCTGATGCCACTTAGGGTTTAGGGTTTAGGGCAGTTTAGGGTTTAGGATTTAGGGTTTAGGGTTTAGGGCCCAGAGAGTCTGAGAAAGCACCTTCGTGAGCTTGGATGCCAGGATAGACTCAGAACCAGTGGAACCGCGTCCGCAGCCGAGGGGCCACCATGGTTTAGGGTTTAGGGTCGAGGGCCTAGGGTTTAGGTTTCAGGGTTTAGGGTTTAGGGGGATTATTTTGGGGATCTATATTGAGGGGCCCCCCCTATTTTCGAAAACCCCCAAATAGGGTTGTAAAGGTCCTTACTTGGCTTCTAAGTGTTACTACTTAGTTTATGGCCCGTGCACCAGCTGGTACTTAGTGCAAAGCTCTCCAATGCCGATTTCTGAGACGAAATCCTAAATCCTAAGGTCTGGTCTGTGGGTTGCCAAGCAGCGGGTCATTGAATCAGAGAACTATCTATATACCGTCTTGGAGTTGGATCGATGAAGTTTGGGTCTGTTCATACAGTCGACCTGATGGATGGGCAGGCTTTGTTCAGATGTGGCACGGTCATGGACGTTGTGTGGAGCTTTCTGATCCCCATTGTTCAATCCGACTCGCGCATATGCCTGTCCCATGCACACTGTTTGCTGAGGCTGGCGTTGAAGATGGGCAGTTTCACGGACGAAGATGAATTGAGTCTGCGTCCATTGGGCGTGTGCCTGGAGCTTTCTTTTGGCCATCCAACAACCTTGTAAAGAACCCTAAACCCTAAACCCTAAACCCTAAACCCTAAACCCTAAACCGTGCTGAAGAGCAATGTCCACGATGAGCGCGCTTATCTCACCAGGCATACCCATTTAGTTGGCTTGCCAATGGTCTCGACGTTGTAGAGCTGCAGCTTTCCCGAGGTTACCCTGAATCCCCTACATAATCCTCTTAAAGCCACAGAAATTTAATCTTTATCGGTCCCCTAAACCTACCCCAGAAGGACTCTATACGGCTCAATGAGATTGATCTTGAAATCCCTCCATTCTCGCACCTTTTCGATGCTGTGCTTCGGGCGGAGACGGTGCAGAAGAATTCCTGCCAAGAGTGGCAGCAGCGCAGCCTTGGCTAGCTTGCAGCATTCCTTCCCTACACCCTAAACCCTATATATATATATATAAACCCGAAGCCCTAAGCCCTAAACCCTAAACCCAAAAATTGATGTCTGAGAGGTCCCCTTTTGAATGTATCAGAGCTCTTTCAGACTGAACTGCTCTTGGTCCATTCCAAAATCCAAATCTCTGCAGTTCTTGGCCCTGGGCCTATCCTAAGCCACACTGCAGCCAATTACTCCACCCCGACCCTAAGCCCTTAAACCCGGGGGCCCTAAATCCCAAAAGCTCAAGAGACCCTGTAAAGACCCTAAACCCTAAATCCTAAACCCTAGACCCTAGACCCTAAACCCTAAACCCTAAACCCTAAACCCTAAACCCTAAACCCTAGACGAACCCGAAGCCCCTCCCCCAAGCCCCTCCAGCCAGTCCCGCAGTCGCTGCTGCCAGCTCCCGGCGTGTCTCACTGTGCCCCTGTGGAATCCGGGCCCCCCTTACTGGGTTTAGGGTTTAGGGTTTAGGGTTTAGGGTTTAGGGTTTGGGGAATAATAACCTACGTAGTAAGAGGTATAGTACAATTCAGGGCCCTTAGAACCCTACTTATGACTAAGGGGCCCCTACATGTGTGGAATCCGTGCCCCAGCCCACCTCCTTTCAAGGGATATCTACCTTTGGCGTTTTAGGGTTTGGGGTTTAGGTAGGGTTTGGGGTTTACGGGTTTGGGGTTTAGGCTCTAGGGTTTAGGGTTGTAGGGCTTAGGATGTATAGTCATAGGGTTTATGGGTTTATAACAAGTTTAGAATGATCGGATTTATACTACTAGGGTTTAGGGTTTGTAGGGTTTAGGCTTGAGTCTACATCATAGTCTCGTCTTGGAACCCGAAAGTTTAGGGGATCTGCATTCTGCAAAGTCTCCTGATGAACCCCAACTAGGGTTTAGGGTTTAGGGTTTAGGGTTTAGGGTGTAGTACCATGATGTCCAGCATGGCTCTAAGGCTGAGTGTACGGTAATCTGTTGCTTTTCCAACCCTAAACCCTTTTCCCTAAACCCTAAAGCCCTAAAACCCCAAAACCCTAAAACCTGAAACCCTAAAACCCTAATACCCTAAAACCTATAACTCTAAAACCCTAAGACCCTAAACCATTCATTTAGGACCAGGCCTCCGGAAACTGCGGGGGACCCGCCGCGTCCGCGTGAAAGGGTGGATGCCCCCATTTTCCGCAAGCCAAACAAAAGAGCCGGAGTGAAGCTGGCGACTGGGTAAGGCCCTTTGTTTCGGGTTTAGGGGTTTGGGTTTTGGGGTTTAGGGTTTAGGGGGTTTTGGGGTTTAGGGCTTAGGGGGTTTTAGGGGGTTTTAGGGGGTTTTGGGTTTTGGGGTTTAGCGGGCAGAGGCAAAGCCCTGCCCTTCCAAGCAGGTTCGCACTGAGGCGATCCATGCCCGCAGATTTCCAAAGCCTTAGGGTTTAGGGTTTAGGGTTTAGGGTTTAGGTGAAGCAGAGGCGACGCGCCCCGGGAGTGTGGCTCTTCATGGATCCAGCGTGCCCGAGCGTATGCCTACCAGGATGGGCTCTTATACCCTATAATCCCTTAAAAGCCTTTATATTATACCCTATAATCCCTTAAAAGGCCTTTATATTATACCCTATAATCCCTTAAAAGGCCTTTAATAGGGTTCATAATGGGGATTTATAAAGGCCTAATAGCCCATCCTGGCAGTGAGTAGAAGCGTCAGCTTGGTTGCTGCATGTCGCCGCCGCGGTCGCGGGAAATGCATGTGCGAGGAGGCCTTGACCTCAAGTTAGGGTTCGGTAAGGTGCTCTGCGAAATCCCAAGGGACGAAATCCAGCTACGACTCATATTTGCTTGAGAACCCCCAAAAGAAAAAACCTATACTACCCTTAATACGGAAGAATATGCTTTCTGTTTTCGGGAGTTCTTAAGCACCTAGCAGTCAGTGCCTATGTAGAGTATAAACCCTAAACCCTAAACCCTAAACCTTGGAACCGCAAGCCTGGCCGAGGATCCACTGGACAAAGCCGGCTTCCAGCGGCTTCCAGCGGCTGGACGCGCAGACTTCAGCGAGGCTCCTGCGGCTTTTGGGGTTTAGGGTTTAGGGTTTAGGGTTTAGGGTTTAGGGTTTAGGGTTTAGGGGCGTGCGGATGGCTTGCGCATGCTGGGGACCAAAATGAACCCTAAAATTGGGGGTCATATACCTACATACTTACTATAATAATCACTATATAGACTATAGTCCTAGCTGGTTGGGAACTGTCTTCGGACACGAGCCCTGCAAAAACCGATATATTTGCTTGGGTGTAACTCAGAAGGCTCGGATGCTGCGCGCAGGGTTCAGATGACTTGTTGTTGCTAAGACTTCGGAGCTGAAATGCCTTCCTCCGTGTTCAGTTCAGACCAGCGCGCGGTGGCTAGTCGAGTTCAGTTCGCTAGCAATGATTCGCGGCATTTGCATCCTCCTCGCCTTCCATGGCGGTGCAGCCGAACCCAACAGTGATGCCGTGCCGACTTGCGCCAAGAAGGGCGTCACCTACGTGAGCGATGTCAAGGGCACGCCCAATTCGGCATGGCTCTACACCCCGAAGATGTGTCAGATGGCTTGTTACATTAACCCGTCCTGCAAGCATTTCTCGTGGAAGGAGGACTCCTTCCCCGGTGGTGCCTGCAACCTTCTGGGAGAAGATGTGCAGGAGAAGGTCGATGAGAAGTCGTACAGCGGCCCAAAGGCCTGTGCGGGTGAGGTTCCGGTGACCGCAGAGTCAATGGCCAATGCTGCGAGCAACGTGGGCAACACACTGAACCAATTTGGCAATGATCTGGCCCAGAAGGCAAATGAGGTCGGTAGTCAGTTCACAAATCAGCTGGATCAGGCCAGTCAGGAGCTGGACAAGTTTGGGAAGGATTTGGCCCAGAAAGCCGACCAAGCCACCAGTGACCTGAGCCAGAAGGCGAATGAGTTCCACAGCCAGGTCAACCAAGTCGGACAGGATCTCACCCAGCAGGCCAATCAGGCCGCCAACGATCTGACCCAGATGGCCAATCAGGCCCAAAGTGACCTGACCCAGAAGACACAGGAGTTCAACAGCGGAGCGGCCGACTTCAGAAGCTCGACCAGTTTGGAAAGGATTTGACCCAGAAGGCCAATCAAGCCAGCTCTGGCCTGAGCAGTGATCTGAGCCAGAAGGCCAAGGAGTTCCAGAGCCAGGTCAACCAGTTGCAGCAGGACGTGGGCCAGCCGACAAATCAGGTTGCAGAGGATCTCGCGCAGAAGACCAATCAGGTCAGTGGTGACCTGAGCCAGAAGGCACAGGAGTTCAACAGCCAGGCCAACCAGCTTGGGCAGGATTTGACCTTACAGGCCAACCAGGTTGGGGACGCTCTGACCCAGAAGGCCAATCAAGCCAGCAGCGACCTGAGCCATAAGGCAGACGAGCTCAACGATGTCGGCAAGGACCTGACACAGACGGCCAACGATGCGATGGAGTCCGCGGGAGTGCAGGCCAAGGAGGCCGCCGACCAGATGGGCGACCAGATGGGCGAGCAGGCCAACGAGATCCTCGGCTCCACTCCAGGAAGCTCGGGCGGCGGCGGTGGCGACAACACCATGACCTACGGCGTGATTAGGGGCATCGCCGGGGCCCTTGCTCTGGCAGGCGGCGCATACTACTTCATGTCGGGAGATGAGAAGAAAGAGAAGAAGAAGAAGTCCAAGCGTGCCGTCAGTGTGGACGCGGCTCCCATGATCGAGGAGGCGCCGGAAGTCCCGCAGGTCACCGCGCCGCAGGCCTTCCCGCAGCAGTTCCAGAACCAGGTCGCTTGGGGAGTATAGAAATGAACCCAAAAGGCCCTAAGCAGGGCTTATGGTCCACACAATAGAGATTCTAGTAGTATTGGGTTTGATGATCCCAGTGTTAGGGTTCGGTTCATGAGTGCTCCCCACTCCCCAGGTCCAGAACGTGATGGCCTACGCCAACCAGCAAATGCCGCAGGCCGCGCCGCAGTATTATCAGCAGGTGCCACAACAGACCCCGGCCTACCAGACCTACCAGCCCGCCACCTACCAGGGCGGCTACCAGGTGCTGGGACAGAAATGTAGGGAGGGCCTCAGGGCCTTTACTTATTAAGTTTGACATTGACGTGTCTGCGCAGGCAAACCTGCCTCTTTTCTCATAGGCTTATAACCCTCAGTTTTCTATATAGCCATAGCTTGTACGGATTTTGTACACTGTGACACACCTTACTTGAGCCCCTTGCAGCAGGTCCCGAGGATGTGAGCTGCGAAGCTGCATGCAGGTCAGTCGGACGGCTGATGGAAATGCCTCCGGCATCGATTTAATTTTCCCAGTGGCGATCCAGGTCCCAAGGCTCTGGCATCGTCTTCCTTGCGCCTCTCCAAGATACTGTACGCACTCGGCCCAGCCTCTAGGGCTGTGGGCTGTCAAGCGTGACTCATGGTGAACGCTGTGTGCCTCTTGGTGCGAACATCCAAAAAGCCCTTATAGGGGGGGGGGGGGGGTCATGCAATTACAGCCCCTATTTTGGGAACCCACATGTGAGGACATTGACTTCATTATGCGGCCCTTCGCGGGGTTGGTTATTAGTATTCCTGAACGCCAGAACTTATAGCCCTGAATCCTAAATCCAAAACCCTCAAACCCTGAACCCATGAATGAAATGATGCCCTTTCTGTGCAGGTTCTCTCCAGAATATGCCTGGCGTAGACTTGTTAAGGGTCGCGAGGGTTCAGGGTATACTTAGGATTTACCAAACCCCTAGACCCTTGCAGGAAGCCCTTAGGATCGCAAGACCTTTGCCCTAAACCCTAAACCCTCAACCCTAAACCCTAAACCCTAAACCCTAAACCCTGAATCGGCGCCCCGCAGGCCGCGATCCCCCTTACCGACCAGTGCGCCAGCTGCTGGCCGCCAGGCCCCTGGCATGCCCCTAAACCCTAAACCCTAAACCCTAAACCCTAAACCCTAAACCTACTATTTCCTTAAGAACTTTCCAAAATATAGAAAGACCCCTAATACATTTTATCTTTTTTGGGGTTTTTTGTAAGCTAGTAGATAAGGGTTTAGGGTTTCGGGTTCCTTAAACTCCCCAAAACCTTCTGGTTTGGGTTTAGGCCTTGGGGTCCCTGAACCCCTAAGCCTTGCGGTTTTGGTCTGGGGTGCGGGGTTTACAAGCTGCTCACCGTGGGTACACTTAGACTATAGGGTTTAGGGTTTAGGGTTTGGGGTTTAGGGTTTAGGGTTTAGGGTTTAGGGTTTATAGGGTTTAGGTAAGGTGTTTTTTGCAGAAGTCGTACGGAGCTACACAGAACAAAAGGGCCCAGGACTTGGATGGGCATTCTCGAAAATGGCGGTACACCCCTATGTACCCCAACATATTATAACCCGAACCCTATACCCTAAACCCTAAAAAACGAACCCAGAAGTTAGGGAACCCTATACCCTAAACCCTAAAAAACGAACCCAAAGGTCGGGAAGTTAGGCACCTGCAAACCTAAACTACATTTTCCGGACACCCTAAAACCTCGCATTTGGAAACCCCAAACCCCCACAAGAAAACTCTAATGCCCCTTCATTAAGGAATAAAAACCTCAAAATATGAATAGGGTTCCTTGTATGGTTTAGGAATATATTCCTTTGTCAGGAGTATTGGAGTCTCTTGGGCGTCCTTTTTTTTTTAAGATCCTAGAACCTAAGTGTCAGAAGCCCTCAACCCTCAACCCTAACTTTGGGAGCGCAACCGGCACCTTCTTTTCGGTGCTTAGGATGAAGATTGTCCGGGATGCCTGCGGTTTTCGCTGTACCGTCTTTCAACGAGCGCTTGGGGCTTAGATCCCCTCAACCCTCAATCCTCAAGCCTCAAGCCTCAACCCTCAACCCTCAACCCTCAACCCTCAACCCTCAACCCTAAACCCTAAACCCCTCTAGAGTACTAGTCGCCCTCAGCTCAGCCCTATTTGGAGTTCAATGACTTTAGGGGCTAAGCCCTAAGCCCAAATTTCAAGGTTTGGGTTAGGGGCAAAGCCTGCAAAGCCTGAACCTTAAACCCTAAACCCCAAACCCCAAACCATCCGGAAGGAGTTAGTTTGCCCTAAGCCCTGAAAGGCGCAACAGAAGGGCACGCTGGTTGGGACACCCGAAAAGGGGATCCTGGCAACCCCCATGCCTCAACATGGGACGTAACTTCGCGCACGAACCCGACCCATAAAAGTTGCTTGCCCGACGCCACCAAAGTCATTTAGGGGACGAGGCCTGCTGAAGCTTCAGACGCTTTTCCCCCTGGTTCTTAGTAGGGAATGAGGGAATGGGGGGGCCCTATATATACCCTTTAAGGGATTAATGTAGGGCCCTCATTCTCTCAAACCCTACTAAGAACCGGCCAGTTGTTGGGTGCTGGGGTAGCGCCGCAAATCTTTCTCACAGCCAGCCGAGGCTCAGATCCCTCCTGCGTCAGCAGCACCGGCGCCTCAGCCTGAGTGTACTATAGGGTTTAGGGTTTAGGGTTTCGGGTTTCGGGTTTAGGGTTTCGGGTTTAGGGTATGCCTTGGTGTTCCCTCCTCCTACGAAGAGTCCTGAATAGGAGCTATAGAAGAGGGGGGGTAGTATCATCCCAAGACTGCTAGTAGAGCAGGGGGAACATCCCAATGGATTCCAGAAGCCAGCTCTAGATGTCTTGGACGCATTTGAGAACTTTGATCTGGAAGAGATGTGAAGCAGGGTATATATTTCTTGTACCCCCAAAAGGACACCCAATATATACACTCACCAATGTTCAAAAGGAACCTTATATACACTCACCAAAAACAGAAATATAAACCCTGCTTCATGTCTGAACCTCCTGCAGCTTTCAGCAAACAAGGGGGTTGGAGCCTTTTTCGCACTGGGCCATGTCGGTAAAAGTCAGTGTGGCGGATCTCGTCGGACGCTCGCTGGAACTTGAGCTTCCTGCCACGGAAACGGCGAAAGCCATCAAGGATGCCGTGGCGAAATCCTGGGCGCTGGATCCTGCGACTTTTCGCCTGCTAGCAAAAGCTGAGCGCATGGATGAAGAGATGAAGCTTGAAAGTTTCCTGAAGGAGGGTCAGATGGAGCTTGAAGTGCAGCTCCTGAAGTGTCTGTATCCCCCTTGGGAGTTATTTTTTTATATTTTTGTTTATATAAAACCCAAGAGGATATTAACAAGCATTATTATTATTAAGGTTCTAAGGGGGAGTATAGGTTCGATCCTCTCTTGGACCTTGGGAAGCTTGCCATCGCCGAGCATCGAGGCATCGAGATTCGTGGTGAGAGCCACGTGCGGAAGACCCTAAGGTCCCCAGACTCCAACAACGTCTTCTTGAGCCATGGCATTCAGGAGCCTTCTAAACCCTAAACCCTAAACCCTACACCCTAAACAACCTTCATCTCTAAACCCTAGACAGGAGCCGTGCTTCGTGGAGTTTGAGGTGGTACGCTGCAGAGATGAGATGTCCTTCGGTGTGACTTACGACAAGAGCCTCTTAGTAGCTGAAAACGAGTACACTTTTCGCGTATTGTGGGATACTATGGTTTAGGGTTTAGGGATACTACAACCCCCTTATAGAACTGCAAGTGTACACTTGTTTGGGGGGGCTTATGAGCTCAGCAGCTAAGGCCGCTTGGAGAAGACATCTGGCATCTCGAACCTTTCCGTCGACAGCACTTGGATCTTCTCAAGAAAGAAGGCAGAGGGTCCATTTGTAGTACCATTATGGAATTAGGTACCCAAGAACCATACTAAATAGAGTTTTTTGTGGTACCTAATTCCAAAATAGTACTACAGATGGACCCTCTGGGACAGGCGATGCCGCTCTTCTTCTTCGGCGGCAAGCGCTTGGACCCTCCGGGCGTCGCTGGCGTCTCAGAGGGTGACATCATCGTGGTCTACACAGATCCTGAGGCTCGTCTAGTCGAGTTCCTTGGTAGCCCAGTGGTACCCTTTCCCCTTTTTTTTTTGTTTATGGGCTCCCTTTATGAAATAGCCAGCCAAAAAAGGGTGCTCTTGATTGTAATATGGTTCCAAGTTCCTGGGCTACGAAGGTTCTATTGCAACGAGAAGATGGTCGGATCCACAGAGTCTCTGGGGGTCCCCTTACCGCAGGCTGACGGCCGGCCTTTGTGGATGTATGCCATGGTGGACGACGTGGGCGATGAGATCAAAATCAAGCGGTTTGGCCCTGGCCGGCCCTATCCCTGAAGCGGCCCCTCCCTTGAGTGTGAGTAATATTTAGGGGCCGGGATGATGACTAATCGTATTTCCGTATGTGGTCCCTTTGTAATGATACTCCAATAACTCCCCCCAAAAAGCCCTATTCTAATCATTACAAGGCCCCTACATGTAGATCTACAGCCTTGTACAGAAGAGGTGCTGTCTGCAAAAAGAAAGCCGCTTCTGTCCGAGATTTTGATGTGCCACAGCTTGCCGGGGGGTCCTAGCAGCTGCCAGCCTTGCCTGCAGTTTAGGGTTTAGGGTTTAGGGTTTGGGGTTTAGGGTTTAGGGTTTATAGGGTTTAGGGTCAGCTTCTTTGCGCGAAAGTCATTGCGGCTTGCTCATTCAGATCTGGCCGCAGTGAGCACACCAGCCACGTGCACAAGTATCTAGCACCGGGCCAAGAATCCAAAGTTTTGAGAATGCTTCCTGTGACAGGTACTGAATTGCCCATGACCCTCCAAGTAAGCCCGAAAAGGTGACATGGCATGTTCGAGGCGCCTAAAACCCACTTCTCGGACCAGTGCTGTACGCGGAGTCTCCTGCACCACGCAATCTGGGCTAAGCCTGGAACTTTAGGGTTTAGGTTTTAGGCTTTGTAGGCTTTATTTAGGCTTCATAGGGTTTATAGGCTTTTTAGGCTTTTTAGGGTGCAGGGTTTAGGCTGTATAGGGTTTAGGGTTCTGCAACCCTTCCGCGCTCGTCCCCCCCTGGAGCGAATTTCTGAAGCAGAGGCGCGGCGTGAGCCGGGGCACCGCGCCGGCTCTTCATGGAGCCACCTAAACCCTAAACCCTAAACCCTAAACCCTAAACGGCTTACAGCGTTTGGCATGCCGCACTGCCTTCCTGGGACTCTCTTCACCTTCAGTTTAATGGGTGATACCTACTAGTAATTGAGGGGTAGCTACTACTAGAGAAGCTGTAGGTAAATAGAGTCCCAGGTTCATGAGCAAACATTCAAAAAATTTGTTTTTTGAACGCTGCGTCCCCGGCCAGCGCGGAGATGCTTTTAGGGGTAGGGGGGTTTAGGGTTTAGGGTTTACAGGGTTTCGGGTTAGGCGCGTGAATATCACTGTTCTCCATTGAAAAACCCGAAAACTTTTGCAAGAAAGGGCGGGCAACGTGAAGGGTATCTCGAGAAATCCGAGGAGGGGAATCATACAAAAAACTCTGACGCCTTGCGGCCTAGGCTGCCACGGACTGTTGCAAATGCCATGTTGGCAGCTATGCTGAATCGGAGCTGTCTCGCAATGTCTCGCAGCTGTTCTTCGCACCTTCGCTGCCCTCGCTTTCCAAGAAGTTTCCGCCCGCGAGAGCCATGATTCGCGGCGCCTGCGTCCTCCTTGCCCTCCGCGGCGCCACGGCCGATGCAAGCAACATGCCGTCTTGCGCTGTGAAGGGCGTGGCCTACTCGGACACCGCAAACACGCTTCCCAACGGCGCATACCTCTTTGACTCCAAGGCTTGTCAGACGAGCTGCCTGCTGAATCCGACCTGCAAGCACTTCACATGGAAGGAGGACTCCTTCCCGGGCGGTGCATGCTTCCTCTACCCGGAGATCGGGAAAGAGGTAGTCGACGAGAAAGCAACCAGCGGACCGAAGACCTGCGGCGACGATGCGATCAGCAAGATGGCGGGTCAGGCGGGAGACATGGCAAAGAACATGGAGAAGTCGGCGAACGACTTTGCAAATTCTGCAACAGAGCAGATGAACACGCAGATGAACCAGCTTGCGGATCAGACGACTGCGACGGCCAAGCAGGCGGAAAAGGCGGCGAACGACATCCTCGGATCGCTGGCGGACCAGATGAACAAGCTGACGGGCCAGACGGGTGACGCAGCCAAGTCGGCGACAGAGTCGGCACACGACCTCTTGGGATCAGCAGCAGCGGAGATCAACAAGCTGGCGGCCAAGACGGCGGATGGCTTCGTGCTTCCGACCTTGGCGCCAGGCGCGACACTTCCCCCGATGCCCAACTTGGCAAAGTCAGCAAACGAGTTCCTAGGAAAGGCAGCAGACCAAGTGAACACGCAGATGAACCAGCTGGCGGGCCAGGCGGGTGAGGCGGCCCAGAAGATGCAAGCGTCGGCGAACCAAGCTCTGGGATCGGCAGCGGACCAGATGAACACGCAGGTGAACCAGCTGGCGAGCCAGACGGGTGAGGCGGCCCAGAAGATGCAAGCGTCGGCGAGCCAGGCTGTGGAATCAGCAGCAGGCGCTGTGACACTTCCCCCATCGGCCCAGAAGATGCAAAAGTCTGCGAACGAACTCCTAGGATCGGTCGGAGCCGAGTTGAACAAGCTGGTGGATGAGACGGGTGAGGCGGGCCAGGCGACGGGAAAGTCCGCACAGGAACTCTTGGGATCGGCGGCAGACGAGATCAACAAGCTCTCGGCCAAGACGGGTGAGGAGGTGGAACAGTTGGGCGCTGCGCCTGGAGCCGAGGGAGGCAGCAACAACACGGTCTATGGTGTGATTGGTGGCATTGCGGGGTGCCTCGCTGTTGCTGGCGGCGCCTACTACTTCATGTCCGGAGACGAGAAGAAGAAGAAAAAGAAGTCCAAGCGTGCCGTCGGCGTTGAGAAGGCGCCTTTGGTCGAGGAGGCCCCGGAACCAGCTCCCTCCACGGCTGCTCCCATGGCGACTCCCGGATTTCAGCAGTACCAGGGCATGGCGTACGCTGGTGCCCAGCCGTCTCAAATGACCCCGGTGCCGCAGTACTACCAGCAGGCACCAAGCTACCAGCAGGCGCCCAGCTACCAGCAGGCGGCAAGCTACCAGCAGGTGCCAAACTACCAGCCTGCCTACAGCTACCCGTACCAGCAGGTCACTCCGACGATGCGCTGAGTGAGCTGACGCCAGGCAAGCTTCGAAGAAGCAGCCCCTGGCACATTTTCTCTAAGAAGCTGTTCCGAGCTGACGACAGGACAGTCTGAAGAGTTGCTTGGTGGTTGTGATATATCGGATAGTTGTCGCAATTTGCATTGGGTGGAGAGCCTTGTGCCCTCCACACGCGGAAGTCGCCAGCTCGGGTTTTGATTGCCTCGGAACGGTTGTGGCCCGCATCCAGCTACAGCTGCATTAGGCACATAATCATACCTTTCGCCCAAAGTGTCCCCACTGAGTCTGCTAGCTGTCGTCCCAGTGTCCGGACCGGATGCCTTGTTACTTTGCAGTCGCTGCCGCATTGAGCCTTTCGGAGAAAAAGAGAGGCAATGTCTCAGATTTGCAGTGACAGAATCTTGCACACATCCCGAACGCTTGAGTCTTGTGGGCGCTTCGCGGCTCTGCTCTTGTTCTCTCAGCCGTTCTTCGAACCCTCGCTTTCCAAGAAGCTTCCGCGAGAGCCATGATTCGCGGCGCCTGCGTCCTCCTTGCCCTCCGCGGCGCCACGGCCGATGCAAGCAACATGCCGTCTTGCGCAGTGAAGGGCGTGGCCTACTCGGACACCGCAAACACGCTTCCCAACGGCGCATACCTCTTTGACTCCAAGGCTTGTCAGACGAGCTGCCTGCTGAATCCGACCTGCAAGCACTTCACATGGAAGGAGGACTCCTTCCCGGGCGGTGCATGCTTCCTCTACCCGGAGATCGGGAAAGAGGTAGTCGACGAGAAAGCAACCAGCGGACCGAAGACCTGCGGCGACGATGCGATCAGCAAGATGGCGGGTCAGGCGGGAGACATGGCAAAGAACATGGAGAAGTCGGCGAACGACTTTGCAAATTCTGCAACAGAGCAGATGAACACGCAGATGAACCAGCTTGCGGATCAGACGACTGCGACGGCCAAGCAGGCGGAAAAGGCGGCGAACGACATCCTCGGATCGCTGGCGGACCAGATGAACAAGCTGACGGGCCAGACGGGTGACGCAGCCAAGTCGGCGACAGAGTCGGCACACGACCTCTTGGGATCAGCAGCAGCGGAGATCAACAAGCTGGCGGCCAAGACGGCGGATGGCTTCGTGCTTCCGACCTTGGCGCCAGGCGCGACACTTCCCCCGATGCCCAACTTGGCAAAGTCAGCAAACGAGTTCCTAGGAAAGGCAGCAGACCAAGTGAACACGCAGATGAACCAGCTGGCGGGCCAGGCGGGTGAGGCGGCCCAGAAGATGCAAGCGTCGGCGAACCAAGCTCTGGGATCGGCAGCGGACCAGATGAACACGCAGGTGAACCAGCTGGCGAGCCAGACGGGTGAGGCGGCCCAGAAGATGCAAGCGTCGGCGAGCCAGGCTGTGGAATCAGCAGCAGGCGCTGTGACACTTCCCCCATCGGCCCAGAAGATGCAAAAGTCTGCGAACGAACTCCTAGGATCGGTCGGAGCCGAGTTGAACAAGCTGGTGGATGAGACGGGTGAGGCGGGCCAGGCGACGGGAAAGTCCGCACAGGAACTCTTGGGATCGGCGGCAGACGAGATCAACAAGCTCTCGGCCAAGACGGGTGAGGAGGTGGAACAGTTGGGCGCTGCGCCTGGAGCCGAGGGAGGCAGCAACAACACGGTCTACGGCGTGATTGGTGGCATTGCGGGGTGCCTCGCTGTTGCCGGCGGCGCCTACTACTTCATGTCCGGAGACGAGAAGAAGAAGAAAAAGAAGTCCAAGCGTGCCGCAAGCGTGGAGAAGGCGCCTTTGGTCGAGGAGGCCCCAGAACCAGCTCCCTCCGCGGCTGCTCCCATGGCGACTCCCGGATATCAGCAGTACCAGGGCATGACCTACGCCGGTGCCCAGCCTTCTCAAATGACCCCGGTGCCGCAGTACTACCAGCAGGCACCAAGCTACCAGCAGGCGCCAAGCTACCAGCAGGCAGCAAGCTACCAGCAGGTGCCAAACTACCAGCCTGCCTACAGCTACCCGTACCAGCAGGTCACTCCGACGATGCGCTAGGCTCACTCGAGCTGACACCAGCTCATTAACTTGGGGAAGGCGCCGCAAAGGAGGCGTCCTTGCCAGAGTCTAATTTATAACTAGAAGCCCGTTGATCCAAGCTGGCTTGCATGACTTGACAATTTGAATGAAGATTTGGGCGAATAGCTGTTTGCATCATTGTCTGTGACATAGTTGAAGCGGCCAGCTCGGGTTTTGTCTCGGCTGTGGACGAGATCACTTCGCAACTGCTTGCGTACCTTGATTCGCCGAAAAGGTCCTGCTTCCGTTGCAACGACCACCTAGCTGAGATGGGATGTTACTTGACGAGGTTTCAACTCGCTAGTGAGTGCTAGCCGGCACTCCAACATGTTCCAGTAGTTACGATAGAGTCGTTCAAGTGCTTTGTGCTCGGATGTAGTGTGCATTCTTGTCTGCTGGGTGCTGAGCTTTATCATGTTCTCATGTGGGGCTTTCATGGAGCTCAAAGGTGACAGTGCTCGATGCCAGCCTCAATCAAGGAGCAGGCAATGCCGGCAGGGAAGTTGGGTGGATGAGTGGCACCTTGTGGGTACGTGACCCCAATTTTCGGGTTACTTTCCAGGATGGGCGATTATGCCCTATAATCCCTTAGAAGGCCCTTAATAGGGTTCTTTAAGGGGATTTTAAGGCCTAATAGCCCATCCTGGTTTGTCCACAAGGCACGGGTGAGGGGGGGCGGTCGAAAGTTAGGGAACCTTGCAAGGGTACCATGGAAACCTACGCGTGTCAAGTCCACTCTAACTGCACATCTTCGGATGGGATCGCAGGGGTGGAAATCGTATAAGTTAGTAGGTTTGATGTATCTGTAATGGCGTCAGGTCCGTCATCTTGTGATGGCATGACATGAAAGGGTCTCCTGTTTAGTGATTGCTTTTAGAAGCAGGGGTCGGGATGTTAAGCCCGCGCTCTTGAACTCTCCATTTGCAGGTCCGTGTTTGAGCCTACCCTGTCGTGATGAAACCTTATAACCCTAAACCTTATAAACCTAGAAGCCTGGAACCCTAAACCATGTCTGGTGCAACTGAGAAGTCCTGCGGTTTTTGCTCACCAAAAAGGCCACCAAGGCCCCAAACCAGACCTTGGGGGGGGGGGAGAAGGGGGGCCGTCTGCGCATGCTTGCCGTGGGCACAGGCGCGAAGTGCCAAGGAACCACGTGAACTCAGAATCCTGAGCCCTGACTTTCTTCATCTGTCACCTCCCTAAACCCTGACCCTAAACCCCAAACCCTACACCCTATAAACCCCAAACCCTGAACCCTAAACCCTATAAACCCCACACCCTAAACCTACCGATCCAGGCACCGTAATGTACAACTCCTGAGGCGTGAGTTTGCTGGCATCCTGAGCCTCGAATGACAAGGAGAGCCCAGGCGCTTGCGTGTCTCGCGCGTACAGGTGGGTGTTTCCGAAATTTGGGGTACCTTATCGGGGTCTGTTGATCTTATTATGTATTTGGAGGTCTATTTTGGTGGTCCCTCATTTTCGGAATCCCCCATGTAAATGGGCTTTCAGGGCTCTATACTTTGAAAGGAAATATGCAGGTCGAATGTATCTTTCATGGACATCCGGTATTCGCCGCATTCCGTGGAGTTCACTGGAATCATTGGTTCCCTTGTGAATATTGAGGATAATGTCGAAAAAGAGCCTTATCCCTGAAGAAAGGTAAGTTTTGTGAGGTTTGTCTGCCATGGAAACGCAACCTTCAAATCCAACAACACATGAATGACTTCCTAGGAAGAGTTTGGATGTTTTGCGCGGTTTTTTTTGGTTTTGGAACATGGAAGTCCTAGACCAGGTAGATCTGCTCCGAAAGTCCGTAACTTCCGAAACCTCAAGTCCTCGTAGCTTTGCACCCCATAGCTCCAACTGCAATCGCCTGCTTGCAAAGTCGATTGCAGCAGGTGGTGTCATGATGCGCAAGATCTCAAATGCTAAGCCTTCGCCGGGGCCTGAAGCATACAACTCGAGCCCATGAGCACGTGGAGCCAATTCAAAAGCCCACCCCATCCTGACCACTGAGGAGTTCCTTGAGAAAGCAGTGCAAGTTCAGGGTTTAGGGTGTATATAGGTTGTGCTGCTGCTCGCTGCACAGTTGCAGTTATCGCCCCCGCGTGCCTCGCAGTTTTGCATGGCTGCGCTGCCCGTGGCAATGACTCTTGACATGAGCGAGTTTGGAATTTTGCGTTTTTCATGTTTAAGGTTTGGCAGGAAGGCAACAAGGAAGATCATGACGTCATGAGGAATTGCTTCCGACGTGCAAGCTATTGTGCTTCGTTGGGGGTCTGGCCCCCACCCCCAACCCCCCAACCCTGCCGACCCCTTAACCACCCAACCACCCCCCCCCCCCCCCCCACCAACCCCCCCAACCCCCAGTCACAAACCCCCCAAGCCCCCCCCCAACCCAACCCCCCCAACCCAACCCCCCGAACCCACCCCCATACCCAACCCCACCCCGACCCCCCCAACCCAAACCCATCAACCCAAACCCCCAACCCCCGCAACCCAACCCCCGCAACCCAACCCCCCCACCTTGTGTGTTATCTGACAGAAAAATGAAAATACTTGTCAAATACAACACGACATTCAGTACTTGTGGGTGTTTTTGGCGATGTATATGTGTACTATGTTGGTTTTTAAACACACATGTACGCATGTCTACCGTCAAGGGGATGACTTTAGGGAGGGCTTTCTGTTTCAGGGCCTCGTGGCTCTATACTACCAAAACCTCGTCAACAAACAAACCCGCCGTAAGCTTCTACAACACTTCCACGGCCATCCCCCCCCCTCCCCCCCAAACCCTAAACCGTAAACCCTAAACCCTAAAGCCTAAACCCTAAACCTTAAACCCTAAACCCGAAACCCTGCCGCCCGAAGATTTCCAGAAGCCTTGCTTGAAGCAGAGGCGCGGCAACCCGGGGCACTGCGGGCCGGCTCTTCATGGAGCCACAGTGGTGCGAGGCTTAGGGTTTAGGGTTTAGGGTTTAGGATTTAGGGTACTATATGGGCCGTATCAAGATAGGCTTGTGATAAGTTAGGTTAGCTCATGTTATAACTTGGGTTATCATACGTTGCATCTTTGATAACTTTGACATACTTGTCCACATGTTGCTATTTATTCTGGCCCACATTGTCGTGAGCAGAAGGTTCATGTTTTGAGTGCGGCGGCGCCCGCCTCAGCCCCGCCCGCCCCCCCCCCCCCCCCCCCCCCCCCCCTGACCCCCGCACACAGAGGCTGTTAGGAGAAGGGGGGTCAAGCCCAGGAATCCAAATCCCAACGCATATCGCCGTTCTCCATTGACAAGCGCGAAAGCTGTGCAAACATGGGGGGGGGGAACCAACGTTACGGGCGTTTCGGGAAATCAGAGGAGGTAATCCGGGTTCTGCATACAAAAGTTTCTGACGCCTTACGGCCGTGGCCAAGGCGAACTGTTGCAAATGTCATGTTGGCAGGCATCTAGTTGTGAGGACAGAAGTTCGAGCCGAAATGTCGAAATGGCTGAATCAGAGCTGTCTCGCAATGTCTCGCAGCTGTTCTCGCACCTTCGCTGCCCTCGCTTTCCAAGAAGCTTCCGCGAGAGCCATGATTCGCGGCGCCTGCGTCCTCCTTGCCCTCCGCGGCGCCACGGCCGATGCAAGCAACATGCCGTCTTGCGCTGTGAAGGGCGTGGCCTACTCGGACACCGCAAACACGCTTCCCAACGGCGCATACCTCTTTGACTCCAAGGCTTGTCAGACGAGCTGCCTGCTGAATCCGACCTGCAAGCACTTCACATGGAAGGAGGACTCCTTCCCGGGCGGTGCATGCTTCCTCTACCCGGAGATCGGGAAAGAGGTAGTCGACGAGAAAGCAACCAGCGGACCGAAGACCTGCGGCGACGATGCGATCAGCAAGATGGCGGGTCAGGCGGGAGACATGGCAAAGAACATGGAGAAGTCGGCGAACGACTTTGCAAATTCTGCAACAGAGCAGATGAACACGCAGATGAACCAGCTTGCGGATCAGACGACTGCGACGGCCAAGCAGGCGGAAAAGGCGGCGAACGACATCCTCGGATCGCTGGCGGACCAGATGAACAAGCTGACGGGCCAGACGGGTGACGCAGCCAAGTCGGCGACAGAGTCGGCACACGACCTCTTGGGATCAGCAGCAGCGGAGATCAACAAGCTGGCGGCCAAGACGGCGGATGGCTTCGTGCTTCCGACCTTGGCGCCAGGCGCGACACTTCCCCCGATGCCCAACTTGGCAAAGTCAGCAAACGAGTTCCTAGGAAAGGCAGCAGACCAAGTGAACACGCAGATGAACCAGCTGGCGGGCCAGGCGGGTGAGGCGGCCCAGAAGATGCAAGCGTCGGCGAACCAAGCTCTGGGATCGGCAGCGGACCAGATGAACACGCAGGTGAACCAGCTGGCGAGCCAGACGGGTGAGGCGGCCCAGAAGATGCAAGCGTCGGCGAGCCAGGCTGTGGAATCAGCAGCAGGCGCTGTGACACTTCCCCCATCGGCCCAGAAGATGCAAAAGTCGGCGAACGAACTCCTAGGATCGGTCGGAGCCGAGTTGAACAAGCTGGTGGATGAGACGGGTGAGGCGGGCCAGGCGACGGGAAAGTCCGCACAGGAACTCCTGGGATCGGCGGCAGACGAGATCAACAAGCTCTCGGCCAAGACGGGTGAGGAGGTGGAACAGTTGGGCGCTGCGCCTGGGGCCGAGGGAGGCAGCAACAACACGGTCTATGGTGTGATTGGTGGCATTGCGGGGTGCCTCGCTGTTGCCGGCGGCGCCTACTACTTCATGTCCGGAGACGAGAAGAAGAAGAAAAAGAAGTCCAAGCGTGCCGCAAGCGTGGAGAAGGCGCCTTTGGTCGAGGAGGCCCCAGAACCAGCTCCCTCCGCGGCCGCACCCATGGCGACTCCCGGATATCAGCAGTACCAGGGCGTGACCTACGCCGGTGCCCAGCCGTCTCAGATGACCCCGGTGCCGCAGTACTACCAGCAGGCGCCAAGCTACCAGCAGGCGCCAAGCTACCAGCAGGCAGCAAGCTACCAGCAGGTGCCAAACTACCAGCCTGCCTACAGCTACCCGTACCAGCAGGTCACTCCTACGATGCGCTGAGCACACTCGAGCTGACACCAGCTCATTAACTTGGGGAAGGCGCCGCAAAGGAGGCGTCCTTGCCAGAGTTTAATTTCTAACTAGAAGCCCATTGATCCAAGCTGGCTTGCGTGACTTGACAATTTGAATGAAGATTTGGGCGAACAGCTGTTTGTATCATTGTCTGTGACATAGTTGAAGCGGCCAGCTCGGGTTTTGTCTTGGCTGTGAACGAGATCATTTCGCAACTGCTTAAACCTTGATTCGCCGAAAAGGCTGCTGCCTTAAGGTCCAACGACCACGCATCTGGGGTAAGGTGTTACTTTACGCCTTGAATTATTATATGACTCATTCGAGTATCGTATCCTGGGCGACACGTGGAATTACAAGAGAGTGCGGGGTCAATGTGCATTCAATTCTCGTCTGATGAGTGCTTCGCTTTATGCACTTCCTTCTAGATATCAGTACATCAGCAACACATCTGCAGCCCCTGAGCCCTAAACCCTAAACGCTATAAACCCTAAACCCTAAACCCTATGTGTTCTCATGTCCTCATGTGGGGGCTTGAAAAGGCCTTCGAGCACCCACCGTCGAGCTCCCGAAGCTGACGGTGCTCGGGTATGAGGGCCAGGCAACGTTGGCAGTGAAATGGGAGTTTAGGGTTTAGGGGTTAGGGTTTTAGGGTTTAGGGTTTAGGGAGTTTCCGTTTTTAGGGGTACCTTTTGGGGTCACTATGAGAAGGAAACCCTACTATTTGAGCATGTATATTGGGGGTCCATTATGTTCGTATATCCCCAAATTGGGTGGATGAGCAGCAAAGCAGCAGGGAGAGGGGGGGGGGGGGTTGTTTGTGTTCCCCTTATTAGGGGCCTTTTAAGGGATTATAGGGCATAATCCCACGATTAAGTAATCCCCCTATTAAGGGCCTTTTAAGGGATCATAGGGTATATTCCCCCCAAAAGGGCCTTTTAAGGGATTATAGGGTTTCATCCCCCCATTAAGGGCCTTTTAAGGGATTATAGGGCATAATCCCCCTATTAAGGGCCTTTTAAGGGATTATATGGCAGAATCCCCCTATTAAGATTAAGGGCCTTTTAAGGTATTATATGGCAGAATCCCCCTATTAAGGGCCTTTTAAGGGCTTGCATGGAATAATCCCCCTATTAAGGGCCTTTTAAGGGCTTATATGGTAGCCCATCCTGGTTTGTGTTCATGGGGTGTCGCAGAGCCGAAAGCCAGGAAGCCAACGGCTGCTATGAGGGCCTAC